ACCTGGTCCCACGCTGTATCAGGCAATTGTCCCTTTTGTCTTTTGCGGTTGGGTACTGCACTGTGTTCAGCCCTGATTTCTCTTCCTGTCTCTCTCCTGGGCAGGGGCAGGGGGCAAAAAGATGCCTGCTGAGTAGATGGATGGATAGACAAAATTCCAGATTGCAATCCCTTGGTAATGCTTGGGGACTGTGGCTCATCTCGAAATACAGACAAGGCTGAGTACCGTCTTACCTCAGAGTTTGGTGTCCCCTAGCGAGAGGGCAATGGAACTGGAGTTTTGCAAGCAGACCTAGAACTCAAGCCCCTAGCAACCAGCAACTATGACAGAGCCCGGAGGTGACATGAAGGGTCCCATGACCAGTCCTACTGGTTTAGCAGTCTTGTACTTTATCAGTGTGGACAGGGTCTTATCTTCCTGAAACCTCAATTTTCCCATCTGCCTGAAAGTCTCTGAGTCACAGAAAACAAGTCCTTTGGCAAGTCTCCTGCAGGTGCGAGCCACAAATGGGGAGCCACAAGTGAGGAGGCATCCAGAAAGATGTGCAGGGGCTGGGGAGATAGCTCAGTGGCATAAGCCTGGCAAAAGCAAGGTCCTGTGTTCGAGCCCCAGTACCAAAAAGAAAGAAAGAAATAGGCCCCACCAGAAGGATACGCAGCTGTGCTCCTGCTCTGCCGTCTCTGGACACCAGGGGGAGGCAGAAACCAGCATTAGCTCTGGCAGTGTGGAGGTCTGCTCTGGGGGAATCTGCCCCGGGAAGGGAGAGCTGGCGAGCGCTGCTGTTTGCGGGGCCCTCGCTCTGAGCAGCCCTCGGCCTGCCAGGGCCAGGGCGGTCTGGTCAGGAAGAAGCCAGTCCTTCTGGGCCTGGCAAATTGCCCTCATCTTGAAGCTCAGCTGGAGGTGAGGGGCAGGAGAGGAAGGAAGGGCGAGTAAACAGATGGAGCAGTGCAACGGGAAGCTCGGCCCAGGGCAGGCGCTTGTTCCTTCATCCCCCTCTTTGCCTCACCTCGTGTCTCTGATTCAGTCAACTACCCAGGAATGTCAGAGGACTGAGGTCACACCGTGTAGTAGAGGTGGAAATCTGAAATAGAGTCCTTCCCAGGGCCTAGGAAGACCTCGTCACCCCTGCGGACCAGCAGGGATGGGGGTGAGGGGCTGCCTCCTGAAGCTCTGTCACCACAGGCTGGGCTGGGTCTCTCTCCTTGGACTGGAGGGTAGGACTGGGTGCAGGGGGCACCCGCACTCTCCCTGGGCTTCAGGCAGGTCCTGGGCTTCTCTGCACACTGTGCCATGGGTACTGGGAGTTGGCTTGAAGGAGCCCGGGGTCCGTGGTTCCCCCCATGAGTGGGAGACGTTGCCTCATGGCTCTCCACTATCTATGACAAGGAGTGGCGGTGGCTGCTGCGGAAGGGAGTCTGATTTGTTTTTATGCTGTTTTCCCCAGCGAAGCGAGCAGTACCAGTAGCAGTGCCCCCTAATCTGTGTCCTGAAGCTGGAAGGAGGGAAGGCTAGGAGTCTCAGAGCTGGCTGCAGAGGGGATGCGACACAGGTCCCAGCTGCCCTGTAGACACTCTCCACCCTGAGAGGCCAGCCTGGAGCCTAGGAAGACCAAAGGTCTTGGGTTTCCTAGGACACTCCACCCGGGGTCCTCCTCCTCCCTCCAAAGAGGGGCCCCTGCACGCGTCTGAATCTGCCCCTGTCTGCGGGGGTTCCTTGTTCTCACCGGTCTTCCCCGCCCACTCCTGGAGAGTGAGGACCCCCGGCCTGGATGTGAGCACAAGGCAGCCCCTGTAATCGGAGCTGGTGCCGCGTGCGGCCGCGTCACCGGAGGAAGGCCGACACCTTCCGAGGACGTGCCTGGCAGCAGCTCGAGAGAACAGCGCGTCCTGGGCGGGGAGAGCCGGCGCGGGAACTGGTGCGGGAGAGACGTTTGCACGGCGGCGGGCGCTTGGCCTGGCTGGTCTCTGACTGTGTTGGGGGCCGGCTGGTTAATCTGTAACTCCCCCACCCTCTGGCCTCCCATCCCGATTTACAGAACCGCAAGCCACGGGAACAGCGCGGGGGGAGGGGGCAACTGGCAGGGTCGCCCGGTCATTACCTCCCAGAGTCCTAGCCTAAGTTCCCCGTGCTAAATGACACAGTTTGAGGCCAAAGAAGTAGCCCTTCCGTAGGACAGCCTTCCCTGGGTCGGGTCTGCCCTGTACAGATGTCCACCCCTAGCTCCAGGCATTCACCCCAGACCCTAGCTTACAGAACTCCTCTGGAAGAGCTGCGGGCTGGATGAAAAGCAGATCCAGCTCTAAGTCCCAGCACTGCCCTAACTGCTGGGTATTTCAAGCAGGTTGCTTAAACTCTCTGACCCTCTGTCGTCTCCCTAACAGAACAGGCACAATAAAGCATCCCACTGCAGGGCACTGGATTAAACATTGCAGCAAGCCCCGCCCTGTGGAGGGCAGGTCCCTGAGCAGCGAGAGATGGAGACACCTGGCTTGTTATAGTCCTTCCAAGCTCCTCAGGTAGGGCATCGCTCGGACAACTGTTAGGGAGGAAGGAGAGGGACAGGCCCGGGCAGGACCCCTCAGAGAACTTCGGGAGTCACTATGCGTCTTGGGCAGTGGGTGGCTGGGGCACGCATCTGCCCCAGGACTCCCAACCTCTGTGACTGGTAACTGCACTGCCCAGCTTCCTGTCATAACAGACGACACGTGCCCCACGGCAAGACGGAAAAAAATTTCAGAGCCTTAATTTATTTGAAAGGACAGTTCAGAGTCTCTGAACATAGGGAAGTGGCCTGAAGCAGGTTGGAACTTGGGTCAGGCGGGAGGGAAGAGTTCCGGCCCCACCTTAGTCACCCCATGCAGGACACCCTACGTCCTGCAGTCTGGGTTCCCCGGGCCCTTACACAGGTGAGTCTGACACACAACAGCCATCCTTGGTGCTGGGGAGCCAGCTGCAGCGCACTTTTTTTTTTTTTTTTTTAATACATTTGGTACAGTCTCGCTACGCAGCTCGGACTCCTGTTTTCAGCTTTCCCGGCGCTGAGATTACAGGCATGAGCCACTCCCGGTCTCGTGGTGGCGGGGTCAGAGACCGAGCGGCGGGACCACTACGGCATGTGGTGCCGGAGTTCGACCCCGAGAATCCGCTGAACTAAATCGCCTGCCCTGCCGCGCACTTCTTAGAAGTGACCGCCCCAGGGAAGCAGCAAGAAAAGGAGGCTGGGCAGCCAGGTGAGGTGCTGGTGCAGAGGCCCGCCACCAGAGGGCAGCAAGAAGCCAAAGACATGGCCTCTGGGGCTGCTCGGTTCTGGGGCTCGTTCTCTGGGAGATCCACATTGCTACGGTTCCCGCGGGGAGCCTCCGTCTCTGCAGCTGGACTGAACAGTCGTGGGGGCGTTGCAGGGACAGGCACATGCACAACCCCTCCAGAACTGAGTTGGTTTAACTACACCAGGTCCCCTCCCCCCACCCCACCCCCATCAAGCCTCCAGGAGGGCTGGGACTGTACGCGTGATGATTTGTGGTTCTCTTCTGCGTTAGAGCTGGGAGCTGGAGCGGGGAACTGGACTATGTGGGTTCACCCTGATTGGAGCACTTGGGTTTGCCGCGAGGATTTAGTCTCTGGCAAGTTTCCCTCGTCTTCCGGTGTTTGCAGAAATACCTGCCTGCCATATGTACTAGCCAGAGTCCGTCATACTAGCCACCAAAGAGACAACCCTTCCCTTTCAAGAGCTGAAAACACTGTCTGAGTCTATTCCTTACGGCCGTCCTGGGCAATGGGAGCGAGCGACGCGCTGGCGAGGCCGCGGCTGTGCGCGGCCGTGCACGACCAGGTTCCCCGTCTGACCAGTAGGGGGAGCAGCAGGATTGCTTGGACAGTAGACCGACTATCTGAAGTGGCCGCGCTTCTTCTACCGGAGTTTGCCGGCCTAAACTGGTCTCAGGGCCCCACCTGGATGCAGCGGGCCTGGAAAGTGTGGTCTTGCCGTGTGCTCAAAGGAAAGCAAAGAAGCTGAGCTCACTCATTGCTTTTTCCTCTCTTGCTAGGCGAGAATCACAGGAAAACCAGGCGCACAGTTCAGAGGGACCAGGCATGGGATGGGGAAGCCTGGGGCACCCTGTCCGTGCCCCCGCCCCCCACCGTGAAGGAAGGAGTCCGGTACATTGAGCCCAGAGAACCGGTCCCTGCTGAGCTCAGCACACACCTCTGGGGCCAGCACCCCCTCCCCACTTCAGCTCTGGGCAGCAACAGAGTACAAATATTGTTCTTTTTGTTTCCTTTTCCCTTTGGATGTATTTTTAATTACAAAAATAGAACTGGATTGTTGTACCTAGACAATGTTTGCTTGCTTCCAGGTCCCTTGGAGTTGAGGGTTGGGTTTCTTCTTGATGTCCGGCCCCCAGCTCCTGAGAGTCTCTGTCCAGGTGTGTTCCTGGCTCAGGGAGATTCAGTCTCACCCCTGGGGCCAAATCTAACAAAATCGCTGATACCTTGCTTCTCTAGTCATGGATCTAGAGAAGGCCACCTTCCCTGCACTAATGAGGATGGGAGAGGGAGAGACAGAGGCATCTAATAATGATCCCATAATTAAGCTGGCAAGGTAGGAAAAAGAAAGCCAGAGTAGAAGCCAAACTAGAAAGTGGAGAGGGAGGGTGTTCCAGCTCTGCTGAGTGGCCTTAGCCAACCTAGGCATCACCTGGGCATTTCACAGTTCCTCCCATGAAAGTGGTAGCAGCTCCATCCCACGGGGCATCATAAGGGCTGTACTTGGGGTTGCACCAATACCCAGTGCAGCTCTTGCATGGCATGACCTGGAGTGGATCTTCTCCAGTCTGTCCTTCTGGACATGGGACGGATCAAGGCCCTGTCTCCAGGCCAGTTCATTCCAGCTGTGCTCCAGGAGTTCATGGGCTCTTTGGGAAGCAGCCATCCTCTTCTATTTTCTTGAAGATAAAAAAAGTTGTGACATTCGTGCTTGCAGGAAATTTAGAATCTAAAAAGAGAAAAATAAAGTTACTACCTTTGGTTCCATCAGGAGCCAAGAATGGCATTTCACCTTGTCCTTTGCCTGTCTTGTTCAGTTTACTGTCTTTGCTTCCAAATGCTGGAAAGCTTCCCTGTGGCCCCACTTTCCAGTTAGCACTCCCTGGGGAGTCCTGCAAGCATCCTACCCCAAGAAATGCTGGGGTGGATGGGCTTCACTTTCTCTCCTTCAGAAGGGAAGCCTCTTTGCCAGGGCCTGAGGGCTGTGCAAGACCCTCTTAGAGGGCTGGCAGTCCTTGTTCCACCCGCACCCCAGGGGTGTTCCTGGTTTGGAGGGGAGTATTGTGGGGTGGGGGCCTTGCACCAGGCGGCAACCAAAAAATTACAGTTTCTCTGAGGACCTGTGCCGCGCGGACAGCGGGCACCAGTTTCGAGAGCATGTTTGTGTCTCTGCCTCCAGGCTACACCTCGAAGAAGCGGGCTATGGGGGAAGGGTACACTGTCCTTCGCAGGCCTTTCTCCTATGACCTCAGGCAGATTCTTCCCTTTCGGCTGCAAAACAGCTTGCCGCCAGCCTAGAGGGCACAGCTCAGACTTGGTATGGCCTGGCCCAAACCCGAAGGGGTTGGACACCAGGTCAGTGAGACGACCGGTGCAGCGCAGGATGGGCTCAGCCTGTGTTCCGACCACTGGGCAGGTGGGCTCAAGGATTTGGCTCCAGAGAGCTGATGCTTGTTCCCAACGTGTTCGCCACATGGTCCCTCGGGGCAAGAGTTGAGCTGACCCCTGTCCCCTCCTCCCCGCTCGAGACCCGAGGGCCAGCAGGTGTGCCCCGGCCCCAGGTGCACGGATCCCTCATGGACGGGATGCAAGCGCGGGCGCTGCCTGAGACCCCACTCAGGCCAGGGACGAGCTGGCAGCGGCACGTTAAAGCCCAGTCAGCTGGCGCAGGGGGCCCAATGGCGAAGAGTGGAGCCTGGCCGGACGCCTGGTCCGCCAAGGGCCTTGCCCACCGCGCTCGCCGAGGGGGCGCCTGCGCCGCGCCGAGCAGCCCCCGTCAAAGACAAAGGAGCCGGTGGGAGGAGGGGGCAAAAGGGGGGATGGGGCGAGGGGGCGGGGCACCACGGTGTCACGTTACCGCCCGTAGCTCCCTTTAACTCGGGCCCCGCCCCCCGCCCGCCACGGCGCGCTCGTGGGGCCGCCAATCAGCCGCACTCGGCCGCGCGCCCCTCCCGGCCCAGGGTGTGTGCGCGCGGCCAATGGGCGGTGCGCGGGGGCCGGGCCCCTGAGGGCGGGACGGGGCGGCATTAACCAATCGTCCTGGTGTTGTTGAAACTGAAAATACTACATTATGCTAATCGCGGCGGGGCCCGCGCGCGCGGGGGTGGAGCCCGTGGGTATAAAGGGGCACAAGCGGCGGGGCGTTCCACAGGCCAAGTGCGCTGTGCTCGAGGGGTGCCGGCTAGGCCCAATCGAGCAAGCGAGCAGGCAGGCAGGCAGCTCTGAGGGGGCGCGGCTGCAGCCAGACAGAACCAGCGAACGAGGCACGGGAGCGGTCCACCACCGACAGCCAGGTAGCTGCAGCGCCCGCTCTCCTAACGCGCCCCTTTGCAAGCGCGGACTTGGCTCTGCTGGGTCTCGCTCGCGCCCGGCCTCCGCCCTCTTCTCTCTTCCTTCTTTCGCTCCCTTTTCCTCTCTTGCTGCCCGGGCACACACAGTCCGAATCATGTCCAACGTGTACCTCCGCAGTACCTCGGCGATGGACCGCCTGGTCAACGGTGAAAACTTGCCTGAGATGGCGCGCTCGAGAGCTTGCCGTAACCTCTTCGGGCCCGTGGACCACGAGGAAGTGGGCCGCGAGCTGCGGATGCGCCTAGCCGAGATATCCGCCCAGGACCAGAGTCGCTGGGACTTCAACTTCCAGGACGACGTGCCGATCCGGGGACCCGGACGCCTGCAGTGGACCGAGCTGGACAGCGAGTCCGTGCCCGCCTTCTATCGCGAATCGGTGCAGGTGGGACGCTGTCGTCTGGTGCTGACGAACCAGCCCCCCCCAGTGCTCGTGGCTGTCATCCCGCGCTCCCAGCGACGGGCCGCTGAGCCCTTCGACGGCCCGAACCAGGATCCGGGGCAGATGCCACCGCCCCGTGCCCCGGCGCCTACTCCGCCCCCGGCCCCTGTCGTGGCTCGGCCGCTGGCCCCGGTTCTGGCACCGGTGCTGGCACAGGCTGTGCCCCGGGCTCTGGCCCCGGTTCTGGCACCGGCGCTGGCACGGGCTGTGCCCCCGGTTTTGGCCAACGCATTGGCCCCGCCTATGCCGCGGGTTCTGGCTCCGGCTTTGGCTCAGCCTGTGCCCCCGCCTGTGCCCCGGGTTCTGACCCCGCCAGTGCCCCCGGTTCTGGCCTCGGCTGTGTCCCCGGCTCTGGCCCCGGCTCTGGCTCCGGCGCTGGCTCCAGTGCTGGCCCCGGCGCTGGCCCCGGCTTCGGTCTCTGCTTCCGAGCTGGACGCGGACCCGGCCCCTGACGCGGACGCGGCGCCTCAAAACAGCGCTGAGTCTGGCGCGAACGTGGCGCAGCGCGGCCCCGAGCCGCTCGCCGACTCGCTGCACTCGGGGATTCCGGGACGTCCCGCGGCCGGCACTGCTGCGGCCGGCGCCAACGGCGCGGCGATCAAGAAGCTGTCGGGGCCTCTCATCTCCGGTGAGCCCCGCACGGCCCCGCCCCAGGCCGGCCCCGCTTTGTCCGGCCGGCTGGTCTCTCCCTAGTGTTCGGGGGCCGCACTCGGTCCCCGCCTCCTCCCGTGGCATTAAAGGGCCCGCAGCACGCAGGGCGCGGCTGCAGCCTCACCCCCCCTCCCCTCACCGCTGAGTTGCCCACAGCTCAGGAGGGAGAGACGGGGGGGGGGGTGAGCCCCGCCCCCAGAGAGCGCAGTCTGGGGCGGTGGCCGCCAGAGCCCCTCTTGTGTGCTGTCGGGCTCGGGGAGTGCGGCGCTGAGGGGGTTAAGTACAGCAGCAGCCCCGGGGGGCTTGGCCGCGGGACAAGGGGAAATGCTTACACAGCACATTGCGCGGCGACGTAAACAAAGCTGACCCGCCGCGGACCTCCGCGCGGGCGGGGACGGCGTCCCCACCCCCGCTCGGAGCCCCGCGCCCCCTCCTGGCCCCCTCTCGAGTCGCCCGCCCCGCCCTGACCAGCCGCGCGTGCTGTCGCCCACAGATTTCTTCGCCAAGAGAAAGAGACCTGCGCCCGAGAGCAAATCCTCCAGCGAGGGATGTCCCTCTGCTAGCGCGCCTGCTGGGGTTGGTGCCCCGGAGCAAACCCCGCGCAAGCGGCTGAGATGAGCTAGGTGAGTTGGGTGCCGCTGAGGGAGTCGCGGAGGGGCGTCCCCGCCCACCAAAGACTCTCTGCTCACTGCCCCTTTCCTTGCAGTTCGGAGTCCCAGGAGCACGGGGAGCTTGTCGGGCAGCGGACGATGGATGAGCGCAGGGACTCGCTGGGACCGTACTTGCAGCAGCAGCCGGAGGCAGCGGCCGCAGAGCAGCCTTCAGTTTTATTTGAAATCTGAAAACTGTGCAATGTATTACTAGCTTTGCAATGCCTAAATATATTCTGCACGTGGAGTACACTGGGTCCCGGGGTGTAAAGCTTTAAGAGTCATTTATATAAAATGTTTAATCTTTGCTGATGCTCGACGCAAAAAAATAAAAGAAAAAGAAAAAAAAAGTATAAAAGTCAAAAAAAGAAAAAAAAAGTACAAAACAAAAAAAATGTATATTTGTACAAAAAAAATTTAAAAGTTATACTAACTTATATTTTCTATTTATGGCTAGGCGTGGGTCTCTCTGCCACGCAACCGCTCAGTCATTGGTTATGCCAAAGGCTCCTATATTTCACTCGCATCAGATTATCAGCAAGTGTAAATTTATTTTTCCAGCAGGCGCTAGGGGAAGGAGTCGCTCACAAACTAGCTTCTATAAGGCCCATCTAGCTTGCAATCTTTTCACGCTTTTGCTGCCTCTCTTCTTATGTTAAACTTGAAGACAAATCTGTTAAAAATGGTTCCTGAGCCGTCTGTACCACTGCCCCGGCTCTTCCACCGTCGGGTTCTAAATAAAGAGGCCAAAAATGCTGCAAACCTGTCTGTTTGTGCTTGTACGCCTTTCCACACCAAAGCTGCTGAGATAGACAGCTCGGAGGGGGCGGGGGCTGGGGCTGGGAGAGCGGGCCAAATATTGCTGCCACTTGGCAGGGTGAATTCTGTCCAAAAGGGAGGGGCCTTTCTCCTAGCCAGACAGGCCCACCTGCTGCAGCCCAGGCACTTGTCACTTGCTGCTCTTGGTCCAAAATAAGCATCTATCCCAGCTCAGTGGAGTCCCTTGTTCCAAAGAAACCACCAGCAGGGAACTGGGTTCTAATGGACACTGCAAGGGTCTCACCAGATATGTCCCACTCCTCACTATAGTACCCCCACAAGAAGGGGTCCCAACTCTGCCAGGGTTCCCTAGAGTGGGCTGCATCATGGCCTTGGTGGGAGAGAAGAGAGGGGAGATACAAGGGGCTAAGTCTACAGCCCCATACCTGTGCTGGCACCCCATTAGCCTGCTGGTGTCAAAGTGCTTCCGTTTAGCTGAAAGGGGAGGGTTTGGGTTTATTTTCTTTGCGGCTGCTCTATAAACCTCTGAACATGGGGGCCTACAATAGAAAGGGTGACATAAAAATCACAAAACCAGAAAAGCTGGCAACATTTTTACTGGAGCCTTAGCTTAGGAGAAATAAGAGAGCTGGGGGGTTGTTGGGCTGGATACATCAGGCAAAATGAGATTTTTGGGATGTATGCATATGTATAATTAGCTTAACCTTCCCCCAACTGCCTGTAAGGCCCAGGGAGGGCCAGACATCAGGCAATGCCCCCCACCCCTCCTGAAGGGTGAAGGTCCTGCTGCCTTCTGCTAGGCCAGCGGACAGCCTGTTGGTACCTTGGACATACAGTGGGGAGATCTGCTTCAGGCTTCCACGCATCCCTGTGGGGAGGCTCCCCATTTTTGCTTGTGGGTCAGGACAAGCCCTGCCCCCTGAGAAGGACTGTGGTGTACTACCAGATAGTCAGGCACGCAGGCAGTGGGCACACAGGGCCTCTGAGTGTATTCCTGGTGGCCAAAGCTGACGGGGTCCCTGAGGAACATCCCTCTGAATGTGGGCTCTGCCGTGCCAGGTACAGGCCTCTGTACCTGCTTTGATTCCTCACAGCCCTTCCCGCCTCATGGGGACCTGGGGGTGCTGCTCAGACTACCAGCTTCCTGGTCTCTCTGTAGGGTGATTTTCTCAAAAGCAGTGAGGGGGACACTTCTGTATGGTTTCTACCCCATGGCAGGAACCCACAGCAGAAACCTCGAGGCTCCCTCCCATGAGGGAGCCACATTGTGTTGTAAGTCACAGTGATGACCCTGGGTCAGGCCCTTCGTATCCTCAGGGAGCCTCAGTTTCCCTGTCCAGGCTGTGAGATGTCAACAGTACCTTCCAGATCAGCTGTACTTGTATGAGGATAGTTATGGCAATAATAACATCCGTGGCGCTGCTGGAAAGTTATCTTTTTTACCTATGCCTGTGGCGATCAATTATAGGGACCATCAGGTGAGCCCCCAATCCACAGCCTGAGTGGATAGGATGCTGTACTCCCTGGGCATCCAGGATAAAACCATTGCTATGTCCCTCCCCACTGACTAGGCTGGGCAGACAGAGAGCAGAGCTGTTAACCTGCATAACAGTGAAGCAAGGAGCACCTGGGAGAAGCTGTGAAGGGAGAGTTCTGGGAAGAGGTGGGTGGGACCTGGAGCTCCCATGCTCCCAGAAGACCCTAAGAGGATAGCTTGGACAGAGGCTGAGAGGGGGGAAGGGTAAGCCAGAAGACCAGGATGAGCCAGGAGAGGTAAGGCTGAGGGGTCCACTTGGAAGGTGCGTGGGCTTATGGATTATTGTGAGAAGGTGCATTAGGTGTCCCTGAGGGGCTTCTCCTCTCCCTGCTGATCTCTTGTCCCTTCCTAGGTTTGGCGGGCCTGGTCAAAAGTTGGATTTTGTCTGCAGGCTATGGGGAGGTCCAGGATGGGGTTAAATTGGGGGAGATGGTGCTGGATGGAGAGCAGGAGGGCCCTCAGGAGGGTGGGACAGAGGGGCTAGATGGCCACTTTTTCAGGGACTCTGCATGTCAGATTCTGTTCTGGGTACCAGAGACATAAGAAGAATTAAAGAGGCAGTTCCCTGCTTCCAGAGCCTCCTCTGTCATAGGAGGTAGCATCATAAGTCCGATAAGGGGCTAACAGCCAGGGTCAAGGCCCCAAGGCCTAGGACACTCACTCCTGAAACAGTGAGCCACAGGAGTAGGAGGTGGGGTGGAGGGTCCTAGAAGACGCAATAGTGGAAAAGCCATGGGGACCAGCAGGTGGATTGGATGGCTTGGGGGGATCCAGTACCTGGAAGCTCCCAAAGTTTCTGGTGTCAGCATGGGGGGAGGGGGCTACTCCAAGCTGAGCAAGCCTTCCCAGATGAACAGAAAACATCCTGATCCCCTGCTTTAAGATGTAAATTTTGTAATTTGGGCCACACCTTGCTTTGCTCTTCTCTAAGCCAGACACTCGGGATGGCAGAGCGCCCTGGTTACAGATGAGCCTGGCAAGACTCAGGAAGGCTGCGCAGCCCACGCAGCACCGCAGGCTCAGGAAGCACCCTGCACAGAGCCAGCCACTGCCACCCTTGGTCCCTGGCCTGGCTGGCTCCCCTGATGCCCTCCTAAGGAGCACAGTCTGGGTATTTATCTTTGGTACATTTTCATGTACTAAACTCAGTAGTTGACATTAGGGCGCTTTGCTTGTCCATTCTATGAGTCTGAAGACGTGTGTGAGGTCCTCTGTCTACCAGCATGGTATCACAGAGTGTTGCCACTGCCCCAGGAATCCTCAGCCCCACCTATTCCTCCCTCCTCCAACTGCTGGCACCCATGGATCCTTTCATTATCTCTATAGTTTCCCTTTTCCAGAATGTCTTACAGATCATACTGATAGGCTTCTTCTACTTGGGACTAAGGATGTAAGCCCACTGGCTTGGGCTGCTAGTCCATTTCTTTTTAGCACTGAATCATATTCTGGTCCATTATCTGGATGTTCCATAATTGATTTAGCCATCCCCTCCCCCCCCACAGTCATGCTGTCACTTCTAGGTTTGGGCACTTATGACTAAAGCTATGATAAACATTCATGTTCAGGTTTCTGAGTATTGGCACACTCGTGTGGGCAACTACCAAGGAGTTCAATCACTGGATCATAGGGGAAGAGTATGTTTAGTTTTGTGAGAAGCTACCAAACTGTATTCCAAAATGGCTCCGCTGTTTCATATCCTCACTTGAAGAAATGTTCCTTTGCTGTGGACCACACCAATCTTAATTTCATTAAAAATAAATTTTATTAAGAAATAAAACCAAAAAACAAAAAAATTTTTTTTTAAACCCCAGGGGGCTGGTGAGATATCTCAGCAGTCTAAAGCGCCTGCTTAGACAAGCTGAGGCAAAGCACAGGGACTGCAGTTCAGTCCCCAGCAGCACATGCCATGCCAGCTCCAGCCCCAGGGCAGGCTGAGCTGGCCACAAAGTATAATAAAATAAAACAAAACAAAATAAAAATAAAATAAAACCAGGAGCTGGGGAGATAGCTTGGTGGTCTAAGCACCTGCCTGGCAATCACAAGGGCCTGGATTTGATCCCCAGCACCCCATGCCATACCAGCCCCGCCCAGAGCTGGCCACGGAAACCAAGTATCATGGGGCATGCCTGTAATCCCAGTGCTGAGGAGGCTGAGACAGGAGGATCACTACGACTGAGCTGTGAGACCCTGTACGAAATAAATAAATAAAATATTTTTTAAGATTAAAAAAATAAAACCAGATGAGAAGGGTGCCACATCCCTGTAAGCCCAGATACCCAGGAGGCTAAGATGAAGAGTTTGAGGCCACCTGAGTGACCTAGAAAACCTAGTTTCAAAAATCAACCAGAAAAACAACAACAGAAGACCTCACTACAGTTTGAAGAGGACAAAGCGCAATTAAAAATTAACGCTGACGATTGTGGCTTTATCTTAGTGCGCTGGCTTGTTTGACCTGATGGGGGATGAAGAGCTGCTGCCGGGGGTTGAGTCCTCATCCAGCTGGCCTCATGGTAGGTTGCATTATTGTCCAAATATTTGCTGCCTCGCCTTGCGGGAGGATTCTGCGTCTCCCGCGTGCCGTTATCAGGCCGGCCAAGTAACTTTCTCTGGAGAGTGTAAAGTGACTGCCATGATGTTTATAGCTGTTTAGTAGAACTTGGAATGGCCAGCATTCCAGTATCCCATCTCCCTACCGTGGGACAAGCAAGATCTCAGATATGGGCTGCTCCTTCTGAGAAAATAAAGTAAGCACAATCAGGGGACTGTGATGGGAAAAGAGAGACACGCTACCCTTGTTAGGAGTCCCTGAGGGTTTAGGGTTTGCTGATATGCAACAAAATGTAAACTAAGCTAACAGAGTAGCCATGAGGATCTCAAGTCACTGATTAGAAGAATAATAGTGAGGGCCTGGTGGCTCTGTCACATTTTCTGATACCTGGTGCTGTGGCTTGGACATAGGTTTTGTCCCCGAACAGTACATGTGTTGGAAACTTAGTCCCCAGTGTGGCAGTATTGACAGGTGGAGAGA